CAGCATGTGGGCAACAGGGTGGTTCCCTTTTTGCAGTTATTTCAAAGAAATCACAGCACATCAAAAATGTATAGTCAAGATTCTGACATTTCAGTATAACTCAGGTTTCACCTCAAGATTTCTATCAAAAAACAAAACACATTCAAGGCAACACGTAGATAAAGGTAGAATAGAAATAAAACAGAAGGCAGGTGATACTGCTTGTGTAAATCAGGTAATGGCTTGAAGATTTGTTTTATTTTTCCACTTCCTTTCCATATATTGAATTTTCTATTATAAGAAGCCAAACAAAAACTCTCAAGGAGAGGGAAGCACAAGGGAGATGTGAACTTGAGACACAATGAGCATGCTCCTGGAAATTCCCCAAATTTGCAGATGATAAAGGACCACAGGATGTCTCAAGTGCCTGACTAGACCATGCTAGTTCCACATTAAGGCCAAGAAAAGTGTTGGCACAGAACAAATCCTGAACTTCTGAATATATTGTAGCCTCTGTGTTGTAACACTGTTACACAAAGTGTACACAAGATGCCATTTTAAATTAGGAAATAAAACATTTTGCAACAATCCCTTCTTTGATGTTACTATTTTCTTGTAACAATTCTTGGTATCTCTGTGTTAAATACTAGAAACAAAGGGGAAATGGTATACTTTTTAACTCTCTGGGGCTGAGGAGCTGACTCAGTGGGTAAAGTTGATTGCTACTCATAAGGATCCCAGAACCCATGTCAAAGTTGACACAAGTCTGTGATCCGAGCCCTGGGGCAGACAGGAGGCTCTCGAGACCTTGCTGACCAGTCGACATAGCCAGAATGGCAAGCTCTAGTGAGACCCGATCTCTGACAAAAGCAAACAAAACCCAGCAGAGTACAACAGACAACACTTAGCATCAACCTCCTGGCTCTGCATATATCTCGATACAAATTCATAAAGCATACACATACACATGCATACACAAAGTATCTCAAAACCAGAAAGCTTAAAAAAAAATGAATGCATAAGCAAGCTAGGTATGATGCCACACATCTGTAAGCCCAGCACATAGGAGGTAGAGGAATGAGAATCAGGTGTTCAAGGTCATCCTTAGCTACATTCTGAGTTCAAGACCAGCCTAAGCTACAGAAGACTTGATCTAGCCGGGTGGTGGTGGTGCATGCCTTTAATCCCAGCACTTGGGAGGGAGAGGCAGGCAGATTTCTGAGTTCGAGGACAGCCTGGTCTACAGAGTGAGTTCCAGGGCAGCCAAGGCTACACAGAGAAACCCTGTCTCGAAAAAGAAAAAAAAAAAAAGACTTGATCTGTGGGTGAACACACCTATAACCCCAGCACTAGTCAGGAAGGGGGCTCTCCATCAGGTCAGGCTATGCTACACAGTGAGACCTTGTCTCAAAAGAGCAAAACAACAAAAACTGTCAATGTGGCATTTTGAAATATAAACTGTATTAAATCTCAGCTTTGCAGAGGTAGTGTATAAAGTTACTGTATTTGTCAAGTATGATTCAATGTGTCTGCCTTTCAGAGAAAAGGGTCTAGACTCTATCCACAGAAAGACATGTTAGTGTTAACCGGCGTCAAAGGTGTGACATGGTCCCTAGAGGAAAATGTAATGCCTGTTCATCTTACCTCCGGCCCTGGTCCAGCCTTCCATGAGGACCCCGAGCAGGAAATCTGTTCAGGTGGCTCAGGTGAAGTGTGTGGGATGTCTGGAAGAGACTCAGAGCTGAAGAAAGGAAATGGCCGGTGACTCAAAAGCCCTAAAACCCCGTCCAGCTTCCTCCTCCTCTTCCTGTGTAGAGAAGTACCCCCTTCTGTTCTGAGAGCATCTATATGAAAGGAACAAGTCCTTTCCTCCAGACTACAACACAAAGCCACACCCCAATTTGCATGCCACCAGTACTCACGCTTCTGAGGGAAAAGTGGGGGAATTCGGTGAGGCTGAAAGATCAACTGGGGCTGAGCTCCCAGGATCCCTTGCTTCTGGCCCAGAGCTGCCACATGCAGAAGGGGAGGTGCTGGAGACTTCAGTAAGGGCTAAAGGAAAATAGCCAGCAAGTTCAGGGGATCCCCAGGTTGATACCATGAAGAGACATCTATCCCACCCCCTCAACAAAAGGAAGCATTGTGACCAAAAATCAGGCCACATGACTTCCTCCTCTCCATCCCATTGCAGTGGACATGCAAAGGAGAGAAAAATACCTGGTTGGAGAGCGTCTGCACCTTGACAGCATTCCAGGGCACTGCCTGGCCTGGGTTATATGCAGCCTTCACCAGCACCTTCTCACCCAGCTGGGGTAGTCGGCCCTTCACCACACTGCCAGCACACAAACCAGGAGGCCCCATCAGGAGGCACCCTGGACAAGTTATCCTGACTGCCCCCAGGAAGACCTTCTCCATCAAGATTTTTCATACCTTGCAGTAAAATAGCAAAGCAATAGCTTTAAAGAGGGGGCCCAACAGCACGGAGACAGAACTGAATCCTACAACCATGCCCAGAAGAGACTAGCCTCATGCCTACCTTAGCTGAAAAAAGACTTCTTCATCGACCACCCCAAAGTAGTCATGCAAGCTGGTAACAATGCCAGTGAAGACCCGCTGCTTCTCCCCACTCTGCAAGAGAAGGATAGGTCAAAAGCAACAGGAAGAGATCTGAACAAAATCATGCTATGCCACTAGGGCCTCATCTCTAGCCACAGAGACCTGACTCGTGGTATTACAGGAAAATTCACACGGAAAGAAACATGGTGGGCACAGCCTATGAGAGAAGCTAATTCTTGACTTTCATCCAAAAAGGCCCCAAAAGATCTAAGATTCCCCAACATTAGGAGTCTCTGAATTCCCCAACATTGGCCTACTACCAGGACAAAACAAAACCAAACAAACAAAAAACCAGGGATGTTGACATTGTAACTAACACAAGAAACACCACACACCAGACATCCCAACATACTAAGGTTGCCCCAAAGGGAAACTCACTAGAAAGGGCACCCAACATACCTGAAGGTGCCTGGCATTTTGGGACAGGTCTGTGGCCACAGGAGGAGTAAGTAGACCAGGAGGAGGGCCCAAAAGAGATGTTGAAGCCGCGCCTACGGGGACAGAGAAGCAATCTCCAGAACCGCACCTACTACCCTAAGCACTAGAAGATAGTCAGAGGATCTTGTAAATCCAGAGGTCTAGGTGGTCCCGACCAGCTACTCACACATTCAGGGAAATACCCAGGAGCTATATTTTAGGAAACTGACTCTAGAGCATATTCTGAGTGTAACCAGTAAAGAGGTAAGCACCTGAGAAGTTCCGTCCCCCTGGAAGTGGGTTGATCCTCTGGCGCTTAAACTGGGACATTTGGAATGCTGTCCTTTCAAGGTCTTGGGGGGAAACCTTCAATTAAAAGAGAAAGAAGTTAACAGCTCAAATGGAAAACTTCCATCTATTATGGGGGTGAGGAGTGGAAAATCTTAATGAAGTAAAGCTTTTACGGTGAAGAGGTGAGTCCTAAAATGGAGGGATGGAGAGGTGGAAATGCAATAGGTAACTATGTTACTCCAGTTTGTTCTCACAATAACCTAGTGGTGGGTGCTAGTGACATGCTGGTTTACAGACAAGGAAACTGGAACTTTGAGATCAAGAGACTTGTCCAAGGCCGCAAAACCAGGTAGTGACAGCAGGACTCACACCCAGATCTCCCAACAACTTAGCACTCCTTTCACTATGCCACTGGCACCCTTAAGAGGCTGGCGGAGTCAGGGGCTGGAAGAGCTCCGGTGACATTCATTCACCGCCAAAACACTCCACGCAGGGCCGGGGCAAAAAATGGAGGCGCGAGTAGCGGGGAGGTGATGCGGGCCCTCTTCCCGGAAGCCCGCCAGGCGTCCTTTCGGACCGGCTGGTGGGAAGGGAGCTGTCCAGCCGGCCCTCGCCAAGCGGCCTGCACGCCGCTCCCTCCTCCTAGGGCCCGACCCTAGGCTCCGGCCTCCGCAGCCGCCTGCGCAGAGCCTTCCGGGCCCGGCCACCGAGAGGCCACCGTGGGAGGACCACGGCGCGAGGTTTCTCCTCCTCCCGCCCGCCCCCAGGGCCGAGGCCGTTGCCAGGGAGACAGAGCTTGCAGTCCAGAGGGGGCTCGGCTCTTTCCGCGACGGGCGCATCTTCGCTGTTCGGACCCCGCGGCCTCGCCACCCGAGAGAGACTGAGAGGCGGAGGCGCAGCGGGAGGCCCCCAACCCACCTGCGGGCCAGGGCCACGACACCAGGGGGACAAAGACACCCGGAACCACCGCAGCTGCTGCTGCCACCACCACCGGAAACGCCTCTCCGGAAGAGCGACCACTGGTCGGAAGCTGCCACTCTCCCGGATATGGTACCTCCCTCTTCTACATCGACCTCTCCCTTCCCCCACACCAGCCTGCCATCCCGCTCCAACTGTGGAACGGAAGTGTGCCTTCCCAGATCCAATAATGCCTTCGGAAGCTGAGCTCGGTGGTGTCCTCTCTCAAGTGTCCCATCAGAAAAGTAGGCTCGAACCATTGGTTCCTGGTCTCAAAATGACTGGAACTGGACCCCCCCCCCCCCCCCAAACACAAGGAAGGGACTACCACTTACACACCCTGCTGTCCTCTACTGACCACCAAGACTACAGCAGCAAAAGAAGCAGCGCCTCCACTGGCTCGAGGAGCATGCCTACTCAGGGGCCATTGCCAGGGGATATTCTTCTGACTAAAGCCAAAGACCACCCCACCCCCCATCCCTATTCCTGCCCTTTTATTGACTGCACTGCCAGCAAGGGGTAAGCAAATGAGAACTCGGTGCCCAAACTCTCAAATATGAAATGTACAAGATCTCAATAAATGGATTATTCAAAATCTTGCCAGAAATGTGGCTATTTTCACAGCTATTAACAGTGGCCACCCCACCCCCCTTAACCTCTGGCCTCCCATCTCTCTCCACTCCTGTTTGCCTCCAGCAGCACACCTTTCCTGCTCACTTAACAGTCACAGCACACACTGAGAACGTATAATGTCACTTTATCCTCCTAACAAGCTTATGAGGTAGGTAAGGCGGGCATCATCCCAAGTAGGATGCTGTGGCTCAGAAATTAGACTTTGCTATGGTCTAAAACTCCAGGATAGAACACAGCATCTTAGAATTGACCTTGCAAGTTATTTGCTGTTCTTCACAATGTTATTGATCTTCCCCCATCCCTCATTTAGTCTTCCAGGGCTGTGCTCCAGAGCTGTGACTCACTACAAAGGTACTCAAGGCAGTGTCGCTCTTGGTCCCAGGGCTGCTGTCTCAGGTATGAGGAGGAAATTAGAAATCCACGTCAGTAATTGTTCATTGTGAAATGAAGATCAGTGCCATCCTCCAGTGACACCCACAGCACCAACCCTCTGTATGAATGATTCCATCAGATGACTGAATCTGGGCAGTAGAAAGTCCAACAAAGACTGCAGAAACATACATCTGCAACATGCTGACACATTCCCATACTCAACATGCTCTGTGAGCACCTGATAAATAAGTCAGTTCACATTGCCTAAGCCCAGAGATTTCTGACGAGGAGGAAGAACCCCAGACGAGTGTTGGAACTGTACTCGAGGGCTTCTTGGGGAATCAGGGCTCCTTGCCTCGATGCTTAGAGAAGGACTTGGCCTTCACCTTGAAGAGGAGCAAGCACCAATAGCTTTTCCTGGCAGTGCAGAGAAACAGCAGTAAGCCAAAATGTAAGGGACTTCCTGGGAAATCCGACTCTACCCAAGGTCACCAGGTACACCGAAAGGTCATACAGAAAGATTTTTTGCTCGTGGCTTCTTAACCACCAATGTTGGAATAAAGGTCTTCCGTTGGGAATGGCACGAAGTCCTTTCAGAGAGGTTCCTGAACTCCATCCTATAGAAAAGCAAAGAAAAATTAGACTCAAGGGGGGGTGGGGAGGAAAAGGCATCTGAAGCATTGCTTACCTTCTGAAGAGAAGTTGTCAACCATGACAGACTTCATCTACAGTAAAATAATTTACCTCACCAGCCCCTAAATTTCAGTGTTAAGGAGTGAGTGAGGGCTTGACAGGAGAGGATGAATATACTGCCCAAAATCTGGTTGTGACTTCGGGAAAGCCACTGTCCCCAATCCCATGCCACCTTCCCTCTCTTCACCAACAAATGGGGCATCTTAACTACTCTTGTTACTTGAAGCATCTTCTATACTTTGTCTCACCAATTCCATAGGGACTAAGATGACAACTATCAAGACAGGACAATAGCAACATCCTGCCCCATCAGTCTCCCCCACTGACTTAACCTGAATCAGGCACAAGACTCACCTGGGTCCAGAACTATCAGGAGGAACAGGAGGCTCTGGAAGCCGAGGGCTCCTCCAACGTATCCGATTGAGCAGAACTTTGACCTTATCCCAGTGGGAAAGATCCTGCCGAACAGAGACTAAGGGCTCAGCATACAAAACATCTGTATACTGTACATCCCTAATGAAGCTACCAGGAACTTCACTGCCAGAGCAAATCACCTGCTCCAAACAGGAATCCTGTCATTTCCCTAAAGCTCTGATTTGGGGGGCACTTACACATTCCCATGTTCCCCCACCCTGCATCATCCTACCAACTGCTCCACATACAGCCATCACTACCTTGTGTCCCTGGGAGGGCGGAAGGATGGGGGTTGGTTCCAGCAAGGCCTCTGGCAGCCTGGAGGGGCTGGCGACAAGCAACCCCACCTCTGGGAGTGAAGCTGCCTCTGCACCTTCTGAAAGAGAACTACATCATCTGGGGCCAGAAACAAGCCGGATGCAACCCCACTAAGCTACATTTCAGGGGGGATGCTGATGGGACCCTGGGCAGGCACACAGGCAGCAGAATACAGAGGAAGACACAGTTGCTCCTTACCTGGGTCCTTTGTCTGGCTCAACTCCTCTCTGTGCCCCTGGACCCTATTGTCTGGGATATGCGATGATGAAAGAACTGGAGCCAATACTTCCTCCTCAGGCTCCTGAGACAGGTGAGATGGAACACGCAGAGATTCACTCGAAAGCTGAGGCTGTTTAGAAGGCATTCATGCTCCAGGGGTTCCACCCTTCCCCTCTTTCCCTCCCTAACTGGCCTGGCCACCTGTACCTGTCCACCACTCACCCTAGAGGGTCTCTGGGTCTGCAGCTGCAGGTACAGCTGCTGGAGCCTGGCCATCTGCTCCAGCACAAGGCACAGGTGTTCCAGGTAACGCAAGCCCTGTCCCGGAAGGCAGGTACAGGCTCCAGAATCCATATTACCAACCTGCGGGACACATTAAGGTAGGAAGACCTTCAGAGTCAACCAAAACTCCCCATTCTGGGTAGTCAGGCTGTGCTGAGCCAACAAAATGGGACACAGCAGACAAGCCAAGAAAGACACACTTGGCTGGCTTCCCCAGTGGCTACCAGCTGAGCATGGCACCCATACCTGTCTGCCTCCTCTGTGGGGGTGGCTACATACTGCTGGGTGCGAAGTGAGGCAAAAAGTAATGACACAACCATCAATTAGGGGCAAGGAACACCCCACCCCGAGAGAGCTCCAGGGAAAATGGGAGAAAGGGTCCCCATGAGCCACACCTCAGGGATTTCTCCACCCCACTCCACTTCACTTTAGCCAAGATGAATACTCGCCTCCTTTGCTTCTTCCAGATCAGCCTCTAGCTCAATGTCTGCCTCCGTGGACTCCTGTTCTCCTACAAAGATGGGCACTCCACCTACAGGTTTGTTCAGCAAGTGCAGGGAGCCGCGCCGCCCAGACAAGCTGGGAAACTCTCGAGACCTCTCCAGCACCTGTTCCAGCTTCCGTCTGGCCAGCAGCCGGTCTAGCTGGGCAGGAGGCAGCTCAGGGCTCCCCATGGGCTCCAGGTTCAGAGAATCTTGAGAAAGTCCTGATAAGGTAGCCAGGGAGCTGTCTCCAACCACCATCTCCATGCCTGAGTCCTGGGAAGCCAATTTCAGAAGTGGCATCTGTCTCTCCAGACCCCTCAGTTCATTCTGTTCCTCCCTGAAGTCCAGTGAACACCCATGAGTTTTGTCTGGTATCCGTCTGTAGGTGCAAGTGACTCCTGGCACCACACACCCTTGTCCCAGGTCCTCAAAGGCCCCATCTGTGAGGAGAATCTGTATCAAGCTGGGCAGGATGCCCTCAACGCCTCCAGCATTCCTAGCAACTGGCAGCGTTCCCTTGAGGAGGTATGTCCTGTACCAGTGGTGAACAAGGACACAGGACATCCACATCCCCACTGGGATAAAGTTCCACCCTTGCTTGGAAGATGTCTAGCTAGGGTTCTTATAACAATTGTTGACAGCCGACAGAAACCTACATTTTGAACATGTGCTAGGCAAAGTCCTTGCAAGTCATGACAATTAGCAGTGCAGATAGCTTAACAGACCCTTAACTAAGGTTCACCTGAAACAAGTCTAAGTGCCTCGGACTTCTTGGATATGGGAGGGAGAAAGAGCAAGGTGAAGGCCGGGCCTACACAGTGCTTTCTGGAGTCCCTGACACACCAGGAAGCAGGAAGAGGTATCTCCTGGAGTTTATGAGGACACTGGTAAAAATGACAGCAGCTGGGACTGGGATGTGATACTGTGAGAGCTTCCAGAGCATGCGCAAGGCACTGGGTCCCATCCTCACACTACAAAACAGAAATAGCAGCAGCAGCAACAAAAACAATAGCAATTATAATTACTTAGGAGAAGTTTGTCTTTTTAAGCAAGAAAGGATGATCATGTGACAAATGGGGGACGTTTTTGGAGTTGGATCGATGGTTCAGTATTTTAAAATACTGACTACTTTTCCAGAAGACGGGCATTGGGTGGGCATTGCGTTCCCAGCACCTACATGGATGTTCATAACTCCAGTTCTAAGGGATCTGAGCCCCTCTTTTGACTTCCCTGGCCAGTTCACACAGGTAAAACAGACAAAAGTCCAAATTTTAAACAACAAAAAACTTTTCAATATAAATTAAGTGAAACAAGGAACCTGCCTTTTATTTTGTTTTGCTTTTGAAACAGTGTTTTACTCTGTATCCTAAACTGCTCTAGAACTCCCAATATTCCTCCTGCCTCAGCCTCCCAAGTGCTGAGATTATAGGCAAGAATCTCCTCGCCCCTTTGGCTAGCATCCATTTATTATCACCTTTGTGCTAGGGGTTATTATGGTCTGGGTGGTCTACTGGAATCGGGCAGAAGCTTGGGCTGCTTTGGCGGGAAGAGGATGCCAGCCCGTCCCCTCTGGATCAGGAAGTGTTCCAGGAAGCCTATGCCCGGCAATCTGGCCCGAGAAATGGGTTTGTGGCCACCAAGGGGCTTGCAGGGCTGCTGGCTGGGGCAAGAATATCGGAGTCACCCAACCTCGAATAGAAGAAGCTTCCACGACGGGAATCAGGGGGAAAGGAGGCCCCGACAAGTAGGATGTGGGTGGTAGGTGATTGACCAGCAAATACCGGAGGATCTGCACTGTGTATGGCGTCCCAAACCTATTCACTCGACTCCTTCAAAGCAAGGAAGCGAGGGGGTGCGGCCAGTGGACGCCGCTCGAGCGGGGCTGGAGAATAGGAGACGACCCCAGGGTGGGAGGCAACGCGACTCACCCCGGCCGCCAAGTCGCTCCACCGCAAAGACGCGGCGCCGGCTCAGCATGACGTGTTCCAGACGTGGAAACCGCTGCAGCAGCACCGGAGTGATCCCGGGTGTCCCCCAGTCCCTAGTTGCGCTGGAGCAGCTCAGCCCGCGGGTCCCTGCCCAGTTGGGCGTGGTTCCGAGACACTCCCCTCAGGAGGCGGGCCGGGGCGGGGCGGGACGCGGCACGCAGGTGGAGGGCGCTGACCCAGGCATCGTCAGTCTGGGGACTACCTTCCCTAGGCATCGTATCTGTAGCCCTGCCAGCAGACGTGCCCCAATTAAGTGCTCTTGGAGGAGAGTGTACCCACTCGAAGACTGTAGCCGCGCGGGGTCATCGCTCCCCGACACACACACACTGCTCGAGTTGCCTGTGTTCCTGCTGCTGCAGCTTGGACCCTTACTAGTGCGGAGCTGCACTGCACAACAGCCCGGAAGGAAATGGAACCCCACAGGGCCGGCGGAGGGAAGAAGGCAGACTAGGACTGCATCCGGCCTCACAGCTGTATGACTTAAGGGCAGACCCCCTCAGCCCGGCAGAAAGGGGAAAGGGTTCTGCGTCCTGGGAAAACCTACAGGGCACTCACTGCAAGGCGCTCTGTGTCCAGAGCTACTTAAGAACCCCTTACCCAGCCCAAGCCTCTGTCTTATCTGGGAGCTGCTGTAGGCGTGTGGTCTGCAGGGTTGGGGCAAGAGATTAACCACAGCCTGGAGGCTGAACAGAGTTTAAATGTTTCCCTGACCCTAGCAGCCACCATCCTTGGCCCGGTTCCATTCCACCCCAACCCCATTCTAAAAGGGAGCCCAGGCAGCAGCTGATGGCCAACTACCAGGTGACCAGATGGTACTGGGGCTGCTAGGAAAACATCCCTTTTCTCAGAAGCCAGTAAGGGCTGGAAAATCTCAGCTGGCCTCAAGCGCCCTAGAGGCAGATAAGGGTGACCTGGAGGAGAGACTGGAACTCACTGGAAGTCTTCGGCCCCTCTCCTTGCTTCCTCCTAGATCCTATCCTCAAAAGATCTCCACTGGTTTCTTTGTCAGAGAGCCACCAACAACCAAATTTCAGTACTATAAAGTTGGGAAACTGAGCCCCCGCCCCTCCCCCAGCTCAGATGCAAGATGAGAGCTGAGTTGCAGTCTTCTGTCATCTTCAGAACCTTGATGTTTAGGTCAAGCCCTTTTCCTGCAGCATGAATTCCCAGGGTTGCTAGCTGCCCCACCCCACCCCCATGCCTGTCCTTCAAATATAATGAGGGAAACAGGATGCTGGGCCTGGCAGTACTGCCTTCTCCAAGTTCACGAAGATCCAGAGAAGCAAGCTTCTAGGCAAGCCAGGCAGCTCCTGCCCCCAAGGTGAAACTGTAGGGAAGTAAAACAGGGGGATTCTTTGCCTGATTTCACCCTGAATTTGAAAAATCTGGGGCCCAGATTCCAAGCAGCAGTATCCGTGGTGACTGGGGCAGGAATGCATCTAGAAACAGGAAGCCAGGCCAGCAGGAATGCAGTGTCTCAGCACAAAGAACCCACACACACCCCACTAAGTACACTCCCCGACACATACTCCCTCCCAGATAGGGCCCCGCCCCTTTGTGCAAGGCTAGGCCAGGTCTGATCTGTCACAGCCTTCATGGGAACTGGACCTGATGTGGTGGGCTAGACTTCCTTCTGCATCTAATGTCCCGACTGAAGCTAACTCAGAACCCAGCCAGTCCTTCATTACCCAAAGGCTTTATGTCCCTGCTGTACCTGCCATCGCCTAGGTATCTTTTCTTAGTCACCTCCACCTGGATAATCATGTCCCCTTGAAGTGAATTGTAAGAAACATCACAGCTGTACTGTTTGTGGCTGCTCCAGGCAGTCTATCAATGGACATGGTCCTGCCTCCAGTGGGGAAGCCCTAAATTCAGGAAGCTGGCCTCCTGGAAGCACCAAGCTTGACTATGGGGACAAATGAAGTGAGATCAAGCACCCCAAAACAACAGGCTCTGGTTTGGTTCCTTTCCTGACTCCCTCCCTTTACTAACTAGAAGTCTTCCCTGTCCACTGTCCTTCATTTGTAGAATGAGGGTGCCAGCAAGACTTGCCTGTGAGCTGTGAGGATGCAGACGAATGCTTCAAACATCCCCAGTACATGCAGAATGCTATTCTAGAGCAGTGGGTCTCAACCTGTGGGTCTCGACAGCCCACTTTGGGGTTGCATAGCAGATATCCTGCAGATATTTATGTTATGATTCTTAACAGTAGCAAAATTTCAGTTATGAAGTAGCAATGAGCATAAGTTTATGGTTGGGGGTCACCACAACATGAGGGACTGTATTAAAGGATTGCTGCATTAGGAAGGCTGAGAACCACTGCCCTAGAGCCTCAGCCACCATCATCCATCCAACCGTGTAACTTTGAGCAGCACTCTCCCAGCTGAAGGAAGGAAGGTTCATTAGATGCTTGGGTCATTTAACAAACCTGTCATTTTTGAACTTACTAACAAGCAGGAAGAAATAGAACGCAGTAGTGCCAAAGGGATATGTGGGAGGAGGGAACCAGAGCCTGCCCAGTCCCCCTTCACTCCTTGTGGCACATTTTGGTCCATATGGGTTTGTCGAAGGTGGGGATATGACCATATCAATAATCCAACTCACCCTTTCCAACCTGTCCCTGCTTCAGGTTGTGATTTCCTAAGCATCCCCAAAGACTCCGAAGTTCCTATCACATTTGGCATTCGGATTCTCTTGACCTCAGTGCAAGTTTCCCAGCAGCCACTGCTCTAAGCTGAGCATTGTCTTTGGCCATCACCCAGCTCTTAGCAGAGCATTGGTCCTAGTTCAGATGGCCACAGCTTTGAATACATAGAGCAGCCACTTGTGTGTTCCAAGACAACCTTAACAGCTACTGTGTTTCATGATGTTTCATGATGCCACTTTCACATTGTCTACAGGAAAGCGTGTGGGGGGTGAAGGGGGTGTTTAATCCTTCTGCCTGCCCACTGTGCAGAAGCCCAAATTCCAGTGAATTCTTTCTGTGACCAGTTTCCCTGCAGTGGGATCACTGAACACTAGATGACACTAAAGAGGCTACCTGTTTTCTAACCAGGAGCTCAGCCAGCCGGCTTCCCAGCCAGCCAGGCTTCCCAGCCAGCCACTAACCAGCCAGCCTTGATCTTTTCTATAAAAATACAAACACATCTTCAGGCAGGCATCCAGGCAAAAGGGGAGATGATTACATCAAGGTATAAATTATATTCACAGGTGTCTAAGAAGGCAACGCAGTCTCTGCCAAGATTACTTTCCCAAAGCCAGTTAGCAAAGACTGCCATCAAGATCCCACACTCCAAAGCCAGCTTTGATCCCGGGTGAAAAAGAGGTTCACATGCATCCCCTCCCCTGCGACACACACCATCACCTGAAGATGTTCTGAAATATCTTCTGAGAGTGAATCTAAGGGTGGCTGATAAATCAGACCAAAATGTAAGGGTTTGCAGAGGACCACTGTTCCCTACCTCCTCTCTGTTCAAATGCACCTCACACAGGGCAGGATGTTGAACACCACACACCTGTTGTACTTCCCTCAAATCAATGAAATCAGCAGATCAAAGGGTGTAAGCTGAGCAGACCAGCCTGGACTGAAACCTAGCTCTTGGTGGGTGGCGGATGGTACCTTGGAGTGAGTACACTGTTGGACTGTCTCAGTCCAACATACACATGCACAAATACCTGACTAGGACCTCTAATGGTCCAGTCTGACCGTTTCATTGGCTGAAAATACTTTGCCACACAAGCCCAGCAACCTGAGTACCATCCTCAGAACCCATGGTAGAAGGAGAAAACCAACTCCCCAAAGATGGTTTGTTTGTTTGTTTGTTTGTTTTTCAGACAAGGTTTCTCTGTGTAATCCTGGCTGTCCTGGAACTCGATCTGTAGACCAGCCCTTCCTGAGCAAGGCTACCCTACAGCTCTGGTCCAAAGTTATCCTTGGTTGATGGATCATTGTTCCAAATGGAGCAAGCAGTCTGGAGGATAAAGTTTCTCCACCCATACACCATCACTGGATCCCGCTTCTTGCCTGTCCTGCTCATCTGTGTACACTGGTAGCCAGTGAGGTCGGTAGCATCCAACTGAGTGAGAGTCAAGTCCGGTCCAGCTCTGCCCACAGCTGAGTTTACAGAGTGTTTGGCTGTCTTGCCAGGCAGCTCTTCCCTGGTTCTCCATTTCTGTGTCTCTCCGAGCTTCAGAGAAGAAACTCACTCCCTCCAAACATGAGCAACCATTTTTTTTAAGGCACACCTTTACAAAAGAGTTAAAGGAAGCACAGACCCCAAAACTTAAAGAAGTGACTGACGGAATGTGGTGAGCGGCACGCTTACAGCCCCGGCATACAGAAGGCTGAGAGGCAGGATTTTAAGTTTGAGGTAGCTAGCATACTGTCTCAATGCTATGAAAAAGAAAAAAGAAAGAAAGAAAGAAACAGGCCTCTACAATGGGATACATAGCAGGTGGGACTTAAAGGAGGTGGAAAAAGAGGGTACCTATAAATAAAAACTTTCTTCCCAGAACAGGAAAGAAGGAAGAAAGGACACTTAATTTTATCCATGTGTATATAGAGTTCATATGTTAGAAACTTCACACCATGAATATCATTAACCTCAGGCCCACCTTTCCCTTCTAGATACTTCTATCCGTGTCCAACCCTATACGCAAACTTGTCAAATATGGCAACCTGTAGTACAGATTGTAGTACAGAACCTGGCCTGCAGGAGAAAGGCCAGAGAGAGTGTTACAGTCCTTAGCACTAGCAACCTGACACTAGTCCCAACCCTTGGCCTCACCCAGCAAGGACAAAGGGGACTCCCCAACCTTAGTTCATGTAAGAAAATATCTATCACCTGCTCTCACCCTTCCCTGCTTGCTCTCAATATGGTCCTGTCTGCGGAGTCTGAGAGTGCAGACAGGCTGAGCACCTTGAGGCTCAGGCTCGAGAACTGAGAGTTCCAGGCAGCGAATAGCGCTGGCGGGCATGCTTCTCACAGTACAACTCATCGCCCACCCAGAAGTGACCACGCATCTTCAGGTTC